GCTGGAAAGGAGTTAGGGACTGTCAAAAGTCTGAGTGAACTGGATACCATAACGGCTCCTCCACCAAAGTCCTTGAAATTCCGACGTCCTTTAGATGACCCTGCTAAATTCTCTGCCGACAAGCAGAGCAAAGCATGGACTTGTGTGCAAACCCCACCGAAGTCCGGAGTTGAACACATTACCAATTTTAACTTAAATGGCACGTGCACTTCTGCTATTTTTGTCCTGAGTGCTTAAGAGTCTGCCCAAACCCACTTCCCTGGCACGCGTCCCCTGCACCTGGCGGGGCATTTACTGGCCAACAGCGATGGACTTTACGCCGTGCTGGGCATGGAGTAGCTGCCTGAACCTCCATCCCTGGTGCCCGGGCCGTGATGCCTCAAGCACCTTTTTGCTGCGCGGACCAGGCCTTGATGGACCTCTACCTGAGGGAGGCCCTGGGAGAGCATCGTGTCTCGTTTTACAGAAAGGACACCCAGGCTCAGGAGGTCACAAGAGCACACCATCCCACAGTGAGAAGCCTGGTGTCTCAGTTGGCCCTCTGCTCTGTGTCACCTACCCTTTCCTGTTACAATAGTAGGGGCTATGCCCACCTGTCTCTGGATCATGAGAGCTGTTTGGAGACACACGGGTGCCTGAGGGCTCATGAAGGTGGGAAAACAGTGTCTCTATCAGATGCAGCTCAACACGGGAGCCTGCCCACAACCAGACTCAGCTGAAGGTCGTGCTCAAACCAGGGCCTCGCACAGTCACCACACCCCCACCTGCACAACCGGTGGGATGGGGCAGAGGAGACAGGCTGACACACCAGCTCAGAAGACAGCCTGCTGGGGAGAGCGAGTTCCGTCTCTGCATCCACCTGAGAAGTGGGGCTATGCGGTGTCTCAGAAGGAATGGGGGTGCACTCCTGTTGGCCTGGAATACCTGCCCTGCTGGCTCACGGGGCGGTGCCGGAAACCTTCCCATTATGAAAGAATCCGGACGTTCTAAGGAGAGTTGGACATTACCTAGTCCACCTCCCTCAATAGATCGATGAGAAAAATAAAGCCCAGAGACGTTCAGCAACTCGACCAAGGGGAAACAGCCTAGTCCGGAACGTCCCAAAGCAGGATCCATGAAATGACAGTCTCCTAAGAGGTTCCCTGAGAAACCGCTGTTAGGAACAGGTAGTTTGGGACAGGCTGCATTCTCTACTGTCCCTTGTCTAGTCCACTCAGTCGCCATTTCACAAATGTTTACTCGGTGTCAAAATAAGGAGCCCATTTTGGGGGTCTGGTCTAAACAGAAAAGCTGAAACCAGCCCCTGGTGTTGAGACTCGGGACCAAAACCCACACGGCTACCTGCAGCAAAAGGACCATTCCTTGCAGGTCGCCCTTTACACAGCACTGCTCCAGAAATAGACACGGCCAGCGGGCGTGGGTCAATCACCTCAGGTGCGCTGGGTTGATCTGAGGCCTTTCTAAGTAGGGGTTCTTGTAATCATATGGCCAGACAGGTAAGTCTGAGCCTGAGACTACTGTCTTGAGAAAGCTCATCTACAGGAGGAGGCTGGAAATGAAATGGGGCCACACAGCTCCCCAAGGAAAGGAAGAGTCAGAGAGGGGGAGAAAGGCAGAAAAGAAAAGGTGGCAAGTCAGTGAAATCACTCCACGAGCCTTGGCAGGGTTGGCAGGCCAGTCAGTGACCAGCTCGCATCAAACAAAAGCAGCCCACTGCCCACGCCGGGTACAGGGTCCCTACCACCCCACCATCTAAGCCCACGCCCTCTCCCCACCCCCAGGGAAATGATGGCTTCGGAAATTAATTCTCTCCACAGATGGCCTGTGCCAAGCTCCTCTCATGGGCAATCAATCATGTAAGATCTAGCAAGGCACTTTTTTTTTTTTTAATTATAGGGAAAGGGTGACTCCCCTATCAATAAAATCCTGCTCCAATTAGTAGAGTTATCATTCGGGTCATTATTTTAAGTGTTTGAATTTTCTACTTAAATAAGGTCACTTTCAATTTGGTAAACACTCCCAAGTCATCATCTTAATTCATGGCCAGTCTGTCGCCCAAGGAATGCTGAGTAAGTAAGCGCAATCGGGCATTAGCTAACCAGCCACAGAGCCACTGGAGTTTATTAATTTCTCTCTCGGCAGGCAAGCGGGGAAAGGGAACAAACCACCAGAGACATTCACGCATCATCCATTCAATAAATATTTATTACCTACCAGGTGCCAGGCACTGTGTTAAGCTAAATATAGGTCCCATCACATTATTAATATTCACAGCCAAATTAGATGGGAATGTTTTAAACAAAATAAAATCCTATTTTCCCCAGAATATAAATTTTAATTCTTGAGATCCTTTTGCTTCATTTTGGCCCTACGTGTCTTCCTCGAAGAGCAGATGACACTTCCTAACTTTTAAGGGGCTCTCTGTCCATCCCTCCCAAAGACCCCCTCCCCTCACCTGCCAGGTAGCTAATGAACATGAGCTCCCCCAGAAACACTAGAAAAGCACTCACTATTTTAGAAGTCCTAGGAGAATACAAATGGCAAGAAATAGTTCATAGCATCACATTCAGACTTTTTTACACATTTGGATTTTGTTTTAAGGGGAGTCGCTTATACTTGTTCGAATGTTCTTTGTAAAATGCCAGTACACATATATATTCCAATACAGAAAGGGTTGTGTGCAAACTTAGAGTGGAAATACAACCTTAGACTTGCACCTTATCAGAGGAACTCCCCTTGGCTCATTTTAAAGGAGGCTCTCCTTTTCCCAATTTCTCCAACAGCACTAAAACAGATAAAATACAATGGCACCTACCCAAGGAACAGACCCAGTCTGAGAACGAACCTTAAACAAGTCACTTTGCGCATCTGTAAAGAAGGGAGCTGGGCTGGAGACTTCCGTGTTCCCTCAATGGCCTGTGGATTATGGGGTCCAATCTAGCCTAACCCTCTGCATTGGGGAACTGGTACACACACACACACACACACACACACACACACACACACACACACACCCCATGCTGCAGACTCCCCCAGGGACGGTCAGCTTACCTAGACACACAAACACCCCCACACCTCCCAGGAGGGGAGGCAGGACCCTCCTCCCCCAGCCAGACACTCCCCCGGAGCTGCTGACATCACAAAGGGGTCCACTGACAACCTCACGGTCATGTGGCTGTCCCCTGGCTCTCCTTCACTTGCAAACGCAGGGCAAGGGTGAGACCTTTCAAAGCCGCCAAGTGGGCAGGCTTCCAGCACAGGCTGGGAGTGAGCGACCGGCAGAGCCTGTCCGCCAGGCGGCGGGGCACCGGCCTCGCGTTTCAACTTCTGTTCGGTTCTCCTGTAATGGAAAATTGCTTTGCACAGAGCTAGAGGGTTACAGTTCTCTCCAGCGCCCCGCCCCCGCCAAGGCAGCCTTCTGGTCAGAGGGACAGCGCCCGCCCGCCCGCAGGAAGGCAGAGGAGGGTCGTCGCGCCGAGGCTTCCTACTATGTCCCTTGCTTCAGGCCCTGGGCCTGGGTGGTTGCTCTTTTCCTTTGGAATGGGACTGGTATCGGGGTCAAAGTGTCCAAACACTTGTCAGTGCCAAGCCCAGGAAGTGAGCTGCACGGGGAGGAAGTTAACTGAGTACCCCCCCGACATACCCCTGGACACCCGGAGGCTCTACCTGGATGACAACAGCATCCCGTTTTTGCCAGCGATGAACCTAGGCCTCCTCAGTGACCTTGTCTACTTGGACTGTCGGAACAACCTGATCGGCGAAGTGATGGATTACACCTTCGTCGGGGTCTTCAAACTCATCTACCTCGACCTCAGCTCCAACAAGCTAACCTCCATCTCCCCATACAGCTTCTCCGTGCTCAGCAACCTGGTGCAGCTCAACATCTCCAATAACCCTCACCTGTCGTCCCTGAGCAAGCACACCTTTGCCAACACCAGCTCCCTGAGGCTCCTGGACCTCAGAAACACCGGCCTCCAGACGCTGGACCACACCGCCTTCCACAACCTTCTGATGCTGCAGACCCTGTACCTGAGCGGGAACCCGTGGAAGTGCAACTGCTCCTTGCTGGACTTCACCATCTACTTAATAGTGTCCCATCTGAATCACCCAGGTGAGGGCGTGGCTGGGTGTGGGGAGAGGCTATGACGGAGTAGCCGCAACAGGTCCCAGAAAAGGCAAAGCCCAGAGATGGTCAGGATGGGAGGGACATCTGGGGAAAGCGGGTGGAAAGCATTCTTGCTGCTCTGAGGGCCCAGCCTCGGGCTGACCGGAGACACAGTGAGGGTCAGTGAGGAAAGTTCTGGAAGAGGGGTTCCAGATTTCATGTCCCAAACTCAGCACTTGCTCGTTGGCTGCCCGGGGGGAAGTCACAACTCCTCTGAGCCTCAGTTTCCTGATCTATACAGTGGGGACAATAATATTACCAGACAGACAGAGTCGTCGTGTCAACATAAAATAGCGTGTGTGGAAATGATGAAGGACTATCACTACAAAGAAAGAATGTAATACAGGGACACTGCATTTCGTTGGTAAACTATTTTAATCTGTTTAGTTCAGTGGCCAAATGTTTCCAGGATCTAAAAGGGAATTCAGTCATTCACAGGCAGTCGAAAACCCAATAGTGTGATGCAGAGAAGGGGAGGTTTGGCAGAGATGGAAGGGGTGGCTGGGCAGCGAGCGAGGGAGGTGGGGAAGGGCGAGGAGGAGGCATCTGGCAACACCTTTGTCTTCAAGATGAAGATGCCAACTTCATCGTGAATCAGGACGATGGGCCACCAGTGCCCACTGTGCCCAGCAGGGAGACGTCCCTCTTACAGGCAGATTCTCGAGTCTCACCTGGTAGATTTCCAAGCCAGTTGCTGCCACTTGCTCCACTGTCCCCACCCTCTGCCACTGCCCCTGAGCCATGCCAACACCTCATCCCTCATCCTCCAGACAGCCATAAGCATAGAACCAACCTACCCGGGGCTGTTGTAAGGATGAAATGGGACTATGTAGGGATTGCCATTCGCGTTAAGCCTGGCACGCCATAAGCATTCCATCAAGAAATGGTTGGCAGGTGCAGGAAGACAGAGGCACTAACAGTGGCCGACATCAGTCAGGCAGGTGCGCCCGGGACAAGCAGTGGGCCTCAGGAGGGCTCAGCCCACGTGGTACAAGAGGACATGGACCTGTCCAGGACACAGGTCCCAGGGCTCTAGTCCCTGAAAAAATGGGACAGAGGGAATCTTGGGGGGAGCTGGGCATTAGACAAGTCTGGACACAGGCGTTCGGACCCGGGATTGAGGCTTGGCCAGCAGCAGCAAAGTGGCGGTTCATGAGTCTAGAACTAAAGCCCTCCGTGAGGACAGGCCCCACTTCCAGAAACAAGTGCGGGTATGCAGGTGGCAGTCTAGAGATGAGGGCAAGGGGGCCGAGGCCGCTGTGCGGCAGACACGGCCTGAGCAGAGAGAGGTCGCCAGCCTGGCGTGACCTGGGGGTCTGGAGAGCTCTGCGGACACCTTTGCTCCAGCACCTCCCCATCTGCTGCCTCCCACTGGGCTAACATGAGCCAGTCGAGATTCGGCCGCAGTCCCCAAAGGTGTGAGGAACCTGAAAAATACCTGAACTCCTGGCCAGAAGAGTACAGGTGCCCCTAAATCTTTAGCAGCTCTGTGTCAGGGGCAAGGAGCGAATTCTTGGGAAATCCAATTAGCTGAGGTTAATTCTGCAACGTTGGGGAACCTTAAAGGAAGCCAAGGTCCAGGAAAGAGATGGAGACGTCATAAAACGAAAGGTATGAGGGTAGCACTGTGTCCTCTCTCTGCCACACTGTGGTTAAGTTCGCCCCCATGAAGCGGCTGCAGACGGTGTTTCTGTCACCTGATTCACGAGAACACTGCAGTGAACAGGAATAACGAAACTTTCCCACGTGGGCGTGAGATCTGGTGCTACTATATTACCAAAGGCCTTCATCTACACAAACCCTCCAGTGCCATGCACACCAGGGGCCTTGAAAACTACCCAGTTCTCAAAGAATTCACGCACCCACTTTCCAAACTCGAAAATTACAGCAGAAATGGAGGTGTGTGCTAATGGTCCAGGTGCCAGGGGAGCTCCAGGGAGGCCTGATCAACACAGAAGTAAAACAGACACATAGATTCCGTTCCTTTTTGGCGGAGGTCAGCAGACGGAAGCACTGACTCCCAGCCAGAACGCTAATTTTCCAGTCATCAGTGCTATTATAGGCGGCAGCGGCGACTGAGCTTGTCCCAGGCAGAGCTCCCTCGCTGGACAAGCGAACGCCTCCCCGAGCGCCCTGACAGACTCGCACCGCTGGCTCTAAGCTCCCGGACATGCAGACCTGGCCTCCTCCGGCCCCTCCGCTCCCCACAAGGTCCGGTGCTGCCCAGGGGAGCTGGTCTAGATCCGTGCTGTCCAATATGGCAGCCACAAGTGGCGGCTTATTGAGCTCCTGAAATGTGGCCAGTGCAACTGAGAAACCAATCCTTAATTTTACCTCATTTCAGTGGCCACACAAATTGCCAGCAGCTACCCCACTGGTCAGGGCCACCTTTTAATACAGGACGCTTAAGCTGGGCCTTCAAAATCCATCCTCCTCAGCGTGGGGACTGCCTGACGTCCAAGTTCAGGGCTTTCCCCCAGGACCACAGGCACGTCACAGCCCTTTTGACTCTGATACATTACTGTGTGTTCATTAGATGTCCAACATCTTATTACAAGGTTGGGGGCTTTTCTCACAGAGGAAGAAGTCATAATTCCTGCCCTTAATAAGACACTCTGGGGATACGAGAGAGGAAATACAATTGGAAGCCAGACACGCTCCCCTGGGCCCAGCAGCGCCCCAGTGTGACTTCGGGCAGGTCGCCTCCCCGAGTCTCACTTGTCCCTGAGATAAGGGAGGAGGGTTCGGGTCTCCTAAGGCCCTTCCAGCTGGCAGCCTACAGACCTAACTAGAAAGAGAAGATGCCCTTAGACAAGTGAGTGGTCGGCACACAGGGTCCCAGAGGAGCCTGTGGGTGGCAGGTCAGTGCTGAGGTGGTGACCCTGGAGATGAGGACCAGTCGCACACTTAGGGAGCACGACAAAGGAGCAGGCAGCCTCTCAAGGCCCCACCTCCTGTCCTAAGCACCTTCTCCTTCACTAGAGCAGCACCCCCCCCCAAGGGACTCAGTGCCTGCTCTGTCCTCCCAGGCCTGCCCTGCTCAACCGGCGGTTCTCAAACTCACCGAGCACAGGAACTCTAGGCCCCCCATCCAGGGATTCTGACTCAAGAGAGCCGTGAGTGCAGGCGTTCCTCAGGCCACACTCCGAGAACCCTGTGACAACGGCCTGTGGTCTAGACCCATAGTGGCCGCTCCAGCTGTGAATGAATTGATCTGCACTGAGATGTTAGTGGCTAAAGCCATTTTGAAATGTCTTCCTTGGGGGCATTCGCAATGTGACAGGAAACAACCAGAAATGGCAAGAATTCAGAAGGTGACAGGGGTGGAAGTGGGGGGTCGTTTCAGGACAGAGGGTCCCTCTGTGTCAGTTAAATTATGGTCGCTAGGAAGCCCGGCCTGAGCCCGGTGACCCCGGGCAGGAGGCACAGGCACGGGGACAAAGCCACTCAGGGACATCTGCAGGGAGCAGATGGGTTCGTTCATGTGCTGCTTCAGGTCCAAGTCATTCTAAGGGCATTTTGGGCAGAGAACATCGTAGTTTCATTCTGATGTTACTTCATCCTGCATTCAGTCAAGGCTGCTGTAACAGGCCAATGGCCCCATTTCAACCCACCAAGTACAAAGTGACCCACAACTGTGCCAAAGCTTCGATTTCCAGAATGAATTCGGTGCTCGCGCTCTTCCACTGTCAACACTAGCCCATCTCCCCCATCAGGGAAATTGCAGTAAAGACCAGAAGCCAAACAAGGGAAGAGCTGGGCGCAGACACCTCCAAGGCTGTGCCCGGCTCTGCCAGCGTCTCGCCCACCTCCCTGCAAACACCCTGGCCCCTGGCTCCCCCATGCCGAGAGCCACAGCAGCGGCCTCAGGAGGGCAGCGAGAGGGCTGAGAGGGCAGAGCTGTATCGGTGACTCCTAAACCATCTAGGAGAGCTGAGAAGAGGTGGAGGTGGCGAGCATGTGCAGCTCGGGAAGGGCCTGGGAGGCTCTCCCTAACTCAGCCCAGCTGGGGTCCCTGAGAGCAGGCGATCCCAGGCTCCTTCGAGCTCAGAAATGCCAGGCCTCTATGCCAGGCCCACCAGTCAGCCAGCAGCACTCAGGCCTCCGGACGGCAGCAGTGTAAGAAGGACAAAGCAGCCAGTGTCGGTTCCCTCATCTCTAGGGGTGAAGAGCTCCCCATCCTGGAGGTAACCCAGCAGGGCACGGATGCAGCTAGAAAAGAGAAATGGGGACCAGCCATGCAGGACCTTTGGGCGACTTTCTGGGGAGCGTGCGATGTATCCTGAGCAGCTTTGGGGGGCAGGCAAGCCTGGGGTCGGACTAGAAGGCTCCTGTGGGCATCTAGACAGGAGAGGATGGCGGCCTAAAGCAGCAGTGTGGACAGACGGGTGTAGACGGGTCAGAAAGAACCACAGAGAAGGTAGCAGCAATAGGACTTGGGACTCCACTAGACCCTGTGCTCCCTTTGGAAGCTTCTGGCCCAGTTCTAAGTGATTAACAGATTTGTAGTAACTTAACAGCTGTCTTCCCTGATAGATATGAAGACTTATGAGAGCAAAGCGCACATCTGAATCTTCAGAAATTAGCACAGGGCCTGGCACAGAGAAAACGCTCAACACACACTTGAGTGAATGAGCAAATGAATGAGGTGTGGAAAACAAAGGAAGGGGAAAGTCAAGGACGGCCCTGAGGGCTCTGGCTTGGACAGAGTGGACGCTGCCCTGAGATGGACATGGTGGGAGGAGCTTAGGGGAGAGGCTAAGTCCCGCCTCCAGCTTGCTGAGTGGCCGCCAGTAGGCATTTGCATGTTCTGACCTGAAATTCAGAACAGAGGACACAGAATAAAACATGCACTGAGGACAAAGGGTGAGATCAGCCAGGGAGAACTGAGAGAGTGATGGGGCCGGGACAGGAGCTTTGGGGAGTGCCCACATACTGAAGGGCAG